CGTATATAAATATTATATATTTTAAAAAAAATCTTATAACCTGAATAATTAAAACCATAAATTCATAATTAATATAAATTCTCATTTGTTCAGAATTGGATACATTGAATAATAACGACCCTGATGATATTAAACATAAACTATTAAAGAAAACATATCATTCAATGATTTTTTTATAAACCTGCTATTTAAAGAAAGTAAATTTTGAACGGTCATTATCAGTAACTGAAAATACCGATGGTCTAGATGTATCTTCTCGAGAATTTAAATTTAACCATAATATGTTATCTTTCAACCTTATATGGTTGTATATTTATGTTAGTTTGCATGCACCTCAACTAATTCTATAGGACTTGTAGAACAACCAGGAAAATCAGTAGTGGCGTTGGAAGGACTCGAATTGATGACGAATAGGGAAAACCCCAAAAGCTCAAGCTTTTATCGTTGAGCTAACTCTTGATATCTGTGTCTTTCAGCCTTTACATTAGCATACACGCGTAATCGTCTAGAAGCGGAAGATGATAAGATAATATAAATTACTTTTCAACCATCTTCGTGGAAAATCCAACGATGCCCGTTTAAGTCGTTTTATTAGCGGGCCCGATTAATTTATTTAAGTCAAGAAAAAAGGTTTAGAAAATATTGATAAGTACAATGAAGAAAAATGGCACCTAACATAAGATGAAAAGCAATGTGAGTTGTGGGTGCACATATAAAGCAAGTTTTTGAGTAGCCATGGCTCACCTAAGTGGACTTCCTTTTTTACACTTTTCATAATTAAAAGAAATATTAAAGAAATAAAAAAGCGGAAAATACACGTTTTCAGGCTTTTTGAACGATCATATGCTTTCTCATCGTTGATGACTTTACGTCCACAAGTTTTCGTTTTGAAAAGTTTTACGAGCAACGAAAGTTAAGTGATGACGGTTCCATAAATAGAATACATAAAAAAGAGAATGTATTCACCTTCAAGCTTATGTTATTTTAATAGATAAGTATTCACTGAGGTTTCAAATAATCCTTGTTTGATTACCAGTAATCGCAACTGATCTCATACGGAACCTGTTTTCAAGGACACCAATGTGATGGTGCGTTTTTCAGTCCACTTAAGGATTGGACCCATGACCTATGTTGCATTGATAAGTGGTATTTGATGAATAAAAAGTATAATTTAAGAATTTAAATTAAATGCTTTATAAAACAGTATAGATTTTGTATACTCGGTTTTGAGTCTAAACTGTCTTCTTGGGTTTTATAACAGTTGATTATCAAGACGAACCATTAAATCTGATATTTAGTTGGATTATGTTGGATAAATATTCTTCCGACTTATGGGTACAACAACTAACAAAACAATTCAACAAAAAAACAACACGCTTATTATATTTAAAAAATGAAGATATAATATTTAAATAATAATAATAAATATCAATGATGAAAAATATAAAAATATTAAAAATCCGTAATTATTTTTATTTTTTTGATTAATTAATTGATAACTGTACTTTTTAATAATAAAAAATAAGAGTTAAATACAAATTTGGTCCTTGTGATTTACATAAATTACCGAGTAAGGTCCCTTAAAGAAATTATTAACAAGAGAAGTCCTTATAGGTTCATTGTTCCAAGGGATATGGTCCATCCTCTAATTCATTCAGTTAATTTTCCGTTAATGAGGGGGCATTTTTGTCTATCCACCTTCCTCTTTCCTTAACTTGAATTTTCAATAACAAATTGATCCATACTACTTTTACTTTTGTAACATATTTGGTCCCTCTGACTAACTTACATCAGTATAATAGTCCCTCAAACATTTTTTTTTTATTTTTAAAATAGATTTGGTCCCGACAATATATTAAATATTAAAATGTAAAGGTATAAGTTTAAGTAATTTAATAAAATTAAGGGGCCGTTTACCTAAACACTTACTCGGTAAGCACTTACTAGTAAAATTCAACACTATCATTTACTTACCGGACAAGATTTTAATCACTAAAAGGCATTGTATGCAACAATTTATCCCGGTAAGCGCTAATCATGATAAGAGTCCTCATCTTCACTTACTGAGTAAGACTCGAGATTCTTGCATTCGCTCTTACCGACTAAGATTCTAGTCCTTGCCATATTCACCAGGTAAAGTAAAGTAAATTAGTAAGCTATTACCCGGGTAAGCGTTTGGTAAACGATACCTAACTAATATACAAAAAATATATTATATTACTTACATGAGATATAAAAATATAAATTTAACTATTATATACATTAAAATTTATCGGGTATTTAGTTCTAAAACTTCTTAAATTTTCAACTAATTAAAACAAATATTTATCAAATTTATATTTATTTGAGCTAAGGTTTTCTTGAATATAATGTTTCTAAAGAAATAAAATATTTAATGACAAAATATAAACTTCAAATTTTATTTAATTATTTTGCTAATTATATTAAGAAAATATACGTTTGTGTCACCAACTTTTATTGATTAAATGAAAGGATCAAATGCTAAAATTTGAAGTTGACTGGACCAAATTTGTTTTAAAAATAAAAAAAATTTGAGGGACCAAATTTGTTTTAAAAATAAAAAATTGTTTGAGGGACCAAATATGTTACAAAAGTAAAAGTAGTATGAAGAACCAAATTTGTTATTTGAATATTGAAGTGAAGAAAAGAGGAAGGTGAATAGACAAAAATACCCTCTCATTAACGAAAACTTAACTGAATGAGTTAAATGAATGATCATATCCCTTATAAAAATGAATTATAGAGACCTTCAATTGTTAATAATTTATTTCAGATGCCTTATTTGTTAGTTTATGTAAACTATAAGGACCAAATTTGTATTTAACTTTAAAAATAAAATGAACTTCTCCGTTTTATGGGGTGAGTCAACTCGTAGGAGCCAATGAGTCGAATGACAGCTCAGCCATGTCTCGAGAGCGTAGATCTAGAACACCACAACACACAGTATTCTCTTACAATGTCGCCACGATTCCTTCTCACGACTGCCACGTGGACCAATATGCCACACACCAATTTTAATTAATTATATAAAATTAATAAATTTTAATCAACATAAATTTATATATTTTTAATACACCAAAAATAAAAGACATTTAATTATTGTAGTTGATAAGAATATTTTATAAAAAATCATTTTTTTTATTTTGATGATAAAAAATATTATATTCATTAAAATAAATTAAAAAATGAATTAGCGTGTAATGTGATGAATTAATAAATAAACCAAAAATAATACTTTTCATGTTCCCTGTTTCGAGATTATAAGATGGTCATTATGGTTTATAAATACGTTCAAAATTAGTTTTTCCCAATAAAAACGGTTAAAAATTCTGTTAAATGAGATTTATTTTTCTCTTTTTATCGGTTTTTTCGTTATTTACCCAATGAAAGAATTATAGGGACTAAATCATAAATCAATTTTGATTGGTTAAAAGATCCAAATATAGATAAAATGACGAAAATGCTCTTATTAATGGAATTTTTTAATGGATGTTAAATGGACGAATCAAGTTCAGACGTTTTTATAAACCACGATAGTTATCTTATAATTTCGACACTGTAAAGACGAAAAATATTATTTTTTTAACAAAAGACAGGTACCAAATGTGTAGTTTAGTTTAATTTTATTCGTTCTACCAAAGACCAATAAGACTTCTACTAAAACAATATTATTTCAATATTCTAAATATAAACTAATAAATATTAGATATAGGGGTATCTGAATTGCTTATTTGAAACAACTTATGTTTTTTTATAAAAGTGTTTATCAACTATTTATAAGTTAAAATGATTTAACTTATTCAAAAACTTCTTATTATCAGTTTGACACCAATATAAGTTGTTTATCCAAACACTTAAAAATGTTTATTACGAGCATCACACCGAAATAAGTTAATAAGTTGTTTTTATAAGTAATCTAAAGTTTTATTTACATGCTATGTTGTAACATAAATAAGGTTTCATACAAAATATCTTGAAATATTATATTTGGGATATAATGAAAATGAAACTATTTTAAATTTTGTTGTATTTGCTTGACTTTATAATTTTCCTTTTTGTTTCAGATGTTTTTTTTACATTATAAAACTGTACATATCACATCAAGTGTTACGTGTTTTTTTTTATTGCAACTGCTCAGTATACTGTATTGGCAACAAATCTCGAAATACTTATAACTAATTTAGAAAACTTAATTACCTTTAATTAGAAACATGACGAATGATTAACGGTTAAATTATTACTACGATTGGTTTGTTTTCAAAGTGGTCACTTCGATGATGATTAAGTTCAAACAAAATAAAAAAAATTTAACTGATTTATCAAAAAAAAAAAATCAAGATTGTAGTCAAAGTTGGTTAAAGAATCCAATTTTCAAAATAGTACAATGAAAGAGACAAAAATACGAGTAATCAAAACGAAAGGAATTTCTTGAATTTTGATTTTGAAAAGACGTGGTACTGAAAGCATTTTCGTTCGACGAAGAACTATCACATGCTTATTTTAACCAATACCATTCTCTCCAACCACTGTTATCTTAGCTAAGATACAACATAATATGAATCCGTCATTCGGTATTATCAATCAGAAAGGAAAAATCATCTAAAAGAATCAATAATCATATTCTGACATATTATTCATAATGTCGAAACCGTCATATTCCGTATGATTTAATCAATAAAGGTCTTTCATTTTTGAAAAATAAAGTGACCCAACATGAAAAATATAATCTTTATATAATTATATCGATTAAAACCAAATCCCGTTCACAAAATAGATACCAAGAGTCATAATCACTTTGACCCTCTTGGTTTAACTTTGAATCTACAACGTGTGAAAAGGAATTTTGTGCCAAAATATCGGCATAAACATACAACTATGCAAAAGAATTATCATTGGTCAAATGGAAAAGTCCAGAAGATGAAAATGGGGGTTTTTTAGTTTTCACATAAAACCCATAAAAATCCCAAACGCAAAGATTTACTCAAAAGAAACGTTAAACACAACGTCTCCCTTCCTCATCGGTTTCTCTTTCTAAAATCCCTCGATCGAAATCACATACTCTTCCACTATCATACGCAAAGTATTAAAATACAATTTTTATGCTCCAATTACGCACCTTTTTGTAGCTTTTTCGTGTTTGGTTTCTTCGTTGTTTTATGTTAGTTCAACTGCTATTTGAGCACTTTCTTCACATTAAACTAACAATTTTCTCCATCCATTGCTGTAAATCAGTGTGTTGGTGGTGGTTTATTACCAACTTCGGAGTATTTTATTTGAATTGTTCCTTACTGGAGTGGGTGGGTTCTTGCCATTTTAGTTGATTAATTAATTGAACTCTTCAGTTCCACCTTTTCAATCTAAGATTTAGCCATTAAATCGCAGTTTCAACTCACTTTGATTAGTTTTCCTAAATGGGTATTCGGCTAATCAAGATAAAGGCGGTTTCTGTATTGATTTGAGGCAACTTATCATGGATCTGGAAACTGCGTTTCATCAAAATCATCTAAAGGTGAGATGGGTATGTTGTAATTTCTTAATTTAGGGGTTTTTAGACAATACCCATTTGAAATTTGTGTTGTTATTGTTTACAGAAACAGTCTTGGAAGACAATCTTGACATTGGCTTATCAAAGCTTGGGTGTTGTTTATGGAGATTTGAGCACATCGCCATTATATGTGTTTAAAAGTACTTTTGCAGGAGATATTGAACATTCAGAGACTAATGAAGAAATCTTTGGGGCGCTTTCTTTTATTTTCTGGACTCTTACTTTAGTTCCCTTGTTGAAATATGTGTTCATTGTGCTAAAAGCCGATGATAATGGGGAAGGAGGCACATTTGCTCTGTATTCTTTGCTCTGTAGACATGCTAGAGTGAGTTCTTTGCCTAATTGTCAATTAGCAGACGAAGAATTGTCAACTTATAGAAAGGAAATACCTACTTTACCCCTATCTTCTTTTGGGTCAAGACTCAAATCCACTTTGGAGAAGTATAGAGTGTTGCAAAGGTTTCTGCTTGTTTTGGCTCTTGTTGGGGCTTGTATGGTCATTGGTGATGGAGTTCTAACTCCTGCCCTTTCAGGTTAGTTATTAATTGTTTCAATTACATCATCCTTTTGGTTGATTATTGCTTGTTGATTGCAAATTTATGGGTTTTCCTCAAGATTGATGGATCGTGAAGGATAGTATTAGGTTGTTTTTGGTGACAATTTCTTGAATTGACTTTGGTTTTTGAGTTAAATTTCTGGGATTTTGTTGGATTTTAAAAAGACAATTTCTTGAAATTTTGTATTGGGGTTTTTTCATAGATGATTAGATTCTTTTGTTTTCTTTGGATTGATTTAATTGTTGTCATGATTATGCAGTATTTTCGGCGGTTTCTGGCGTGGAACTTGCAATGGCAAAAGAGCATCACAAATGTAAGACTCTCATTTTGTTTTAGAATCAATACCAACACTATATTGTTGTCATGCTTATCGGAATTTGGGTAAACGATGGGTAAATCCTTTGCATAATCTTGGTGCCTATTCGTCTCTATTTTGTGGGTTTTTAGCATGAGAATGAAACAAGCTAAAATCTTGCAATTAGAGAAAGTAGCTTGAGCGGCGAAAATTCCTTAGATTAGAAACTTCTGAATGAAACAAGTTAAAGTGTCCAATCACAGTCGTTTTGTTGTTTGTTGTTCGTTTTAGGTGAGAAGAAATTACGGAAAAATCCTAGGTTGGATCTTCTTGGGGATCTCTCGCATGTCTTCTTGTCTTTTTGCTTTAGTTTTCCTAGTAGGCATTTTCATGGAAACAATCTCTATACCCTCTAGAGTAGAGGCACCTACCGGCAAGCTCAACCTACATCCTATCCCCTAGAGCCTACTTCTGTGTGGGATATTCTGGGTTCGTTTGTTTTGGTTTTTAATCGGACGACCGCATAAAGAAGCTTCCCTTCCCAACCCTTGGGAAGGCACGGAGCTTTGGTAAACTATATATCTAAATTTAAAAGAATTTGTGGATTAGTGACATAAGTTAAGTAATAGATCACACATCATCTACCACTCGAAAGAGTTCACTACTTCAAAAGGTTATCTATGGTTATGGAAGCAATAGTCATCTATCCATCATCTTGAAGGGTGCATTTGGTACACTAGACATGATAGATATAAAAGGTATAAACAACTCATTAGGGGTAAATTGGTCATTTTATATGTTATGTCATGTCTAATTTTTATGTCCGGTTCTATCCGGCCTGTCTGGATACCAGACACACCCAAAAAGAATCAATGTGTATTTGGGTTGTAATAATGTAATTCTTGCATACACAATTCCGACACAATATGGGGTCCGTGTTTGATCATAAGACTATAATGATGATGTCTTCATGGAAACAGTCGTTCTACTCTCTGGGACAAATGTCAAGTCTGCATACATATGATCTTATCCTCTTCTAACCCCACCTCAGGTGGGATATACCGGGTTCGTTTGGATTGGCGTTCTTTTTTTATTTGTATGAATAACGATAGCAAAAAATGGGATATTTGTTGCAGATGTAGAAGTTCCGGTTGCGTGTATCATACTGATAGCATTGTTTGCTCTACAACATTATGGGACCCACAGGGTCGGGTTCTTGTTTGCTCCGGTTGTTATATTGTGGCTCTTATGCATTAGCGCGATTGGCTTATACAATATTATTCACTGGAACCCTCATATCTATCAAGCTTTATCTCCGGTTTACATGTATAGATTTCTTAGGAAAACGCAAACCGGAGGTTGGAAATCTTTAGGGGGTATTTTGTTATGCATCACGGGTAAGTGCTTTTTCACATTATACTTGCAAATTGTTCGTCTTGTACGGGTAAATTTGTAATTTTGATGAAAAGGATGGTCTTATTTCCAGGCTCGGAAGCTATGTTTGCTGATCTTGGACACTTTTCGCAGTTGTCTATCCAGGTATGTCGTATGTCCCATTAGTATCTGGTTCTTGAAACGATCACGATTATCAAAAACCAAAAAAGATTCAGAAATGATCAAGATTTAGGAGAAACTTCAAACAAGACTTCAATGGTGGTTTCCATTGATCAAGATTTAAAAGAAACTTCAATGGTGGCCTCCATTGATCAAGATTTAGAAGAAAGATGATCAAAAACCAAAAAAAGATTCAGAAATGATCAAGATTTAGACGAAAGATTATTGAAACCGAAAAAATTACGATGAATCTGTTGAAATCTGGAACCTTGATCAAGATGACGTTGATGAACTTCCAATTTTGTTTTTCAGATAGCGTTTACATCGTTTGTTTATCCGTCGTTGATTCTTGCATATATGGGGCAAGCTGCTTATTTATCTCAGCATCATGTTATCGAAAATGACTATCAGATCGGATTCTACATCTCCGTACCCAGTAAGTTACTTCCGAACTTTGGTATTCCAAGGGACTATGGTTTAAGTTCGTCAAGAACTATGGTTAAGTGACGGTTGGTTTCGATTGTTCAGAGAATTTGAGGGTACCGGTGCTGTTGATAGCCATACTTGCTGCAGTCGTTGGAAGCCAAGCCATCATTACCGGAACTTTTTCCATCATAAAGCAATGCTCTTCGCTTGGATGCTTTCCGAGGGTCAAAATAGTCCATACGTCTTCGAAATTTCACGGGCAAATTTATATCCCGGAGATCAACTGGATCTTGATGCTGTTATGCCTTGCTGTTACCATCGGTTTTAGAGATACAAAACGGATGGGCAATGCTTCAGGTATGTTCACTTGATCGTAAAGTTACCAGTTGTAACGTTTGATCTAACACATGTTTTCTGGAAACTACCTGAAAGAGAAAATAGACAAATTGGTAATTTCAATTTAGAAACTTCCTAGAAAAGGAAATTCAGCCTCTTACCCAGTAAGATGTGATGTTTACTAACACTTCAGACTGATCGAGGTGCTGAATGAGGCAGCCACCAATATGTCACAGACTATGGGGATGTTTGGTTGGTTTTTCATTAAATATTTGTTTGTTAGCAGCTTAACGGGATTCAAACTTATTCAGTAACCTATAAATGACTGTTTGGTAGTGACTTAATGATGTAGAAAGTACCTTATTTAGTAAGCTTATAAAGGGGGAGCTTTATACAGAAAGCCGAGTTTTTTCCAAACCTGCCCCTTTTAATTAAAAACAAGCCCCTTCCATCTATGAAAAAACTCTTCTAAACAAAAACCTTCACAATCTATACAGACAGATTTATCCACATAGACAACTATATCCATACAGGCCTTAACGGAAAAGCAACCAAACAGCCCCTAAGTTCTATATGGATAAAGTTGTTTGTGGGGATTAATCTATCTGTTCAGATTGGGAAGGCTTCTGTTTGGGAGGGGGTTTTTTTTTATCATTTATGAAAGGAGCTTGTTTTTTTAATTCGGAGGGACAAGTTTGGAAAAAACTTGGCTTTCAGCATAAAGATCTCTCCTAGAAGCTTACTGAATAAGCCACTTTTATATCATTAAGCTACTACCAAACAGTCATGTATAGCAGATTGGATAACCCGTGAGTCCCACTAAGCTCATTAAGCAGCTAACAAACAACAAGCCCCAAGTCAGACAGTGCTTACCCAAATTGTTTTTAATCTGTTATACACTTGATACAAAATGCTTCCCATTTTTAGTTTTAGTCGGGCGCTTACCCAGATTGCATTATTACCCAATTTATGCCGATAAACGGATCCTAAAACTGAGCTATATTTTGATCTTATTGTATCTTGATCAGGTTTGGCGGTTATTACGGTTATGTTGGTTACTACTTGCTTAATGTCACTCGTTATCGTCTTATGCTGGCAACAAAGCGTCTTTCTCGCAATCGCTTTTGTGGTGTTTTTCGGGACGATCGAAGCATTGTATTTTTCAGCTTCTCTCATTAAGTTTCTCGAAGGGGCGTGGGTTCCGATAGCGCTCTCACTTATCTTCATGCTAGTGATGTACGTGTGGCACTACGGTACGATTAAAAAGTACGAATTTGATGTCCAAAATAAAGTATCGGTTGATTGGCTATTAAGCTTGGGCCCGACCCTCGGTATAGTCCGTGTTCGGGGAATCGGGCTCGTTCACACCGAGCTCGTTTCGGGAATCCCTGCTATCTTTTCCCATTTCGTGACCAACCTCCCAGCCTTCCACCAAGTGCTCATTTTCCTTTGCGTGAAATCGGTACCGGTCCCACACGTGAGTCACGAAGAACGGTTTCTTGTGGGACATATTGGCCCACGTGAGTATCGGGTGTACAGGTGCATAGTTAGATACGGTTATCGTGATATTCACAAGGACGATGTGGAGTTCGAGAAGGATTTGGTTTGTAGCATAGCGGAGTTTATTCGGAAACAAAAAGATGAAACTACCCCTGATGGAAAACGTGTGGACGGCGAAGTTGGCAACGATGATGAGGTAATGACCGTCGTTGGAACGCCTTCCACTCACCTGGAAGGTGTTCATATGTGTACTGACGGTCAGGATGGGCCTGGTGCGCCCGAGGTTCAAGAAATACGGACAGCACCCACAAACCAAGTGAAGAAACGGGTGCGGTTCGTGGTACCAGATAGCCCGAAAATGAACGACGGGTCAAGGGCCGAGTTACGAGACCTAATGGAGGCTAGGGAGGCTGGGGTGGCCTATATTTTGGGACATTCTTATGTGAAAGCAAAACAAGGGTCGGGTTTGGTTAAAAAGATGGTCATAAATTTAGGGTACGAGTTCTTGAGAAGAAATAGCCGCCCATCGACGGACTCGTTAACCGTACCTCATGCTTCGACCCTTGAGGTCGGAATGGTGTATCATGTGTGAAAAATGACAACAAATTTGTAAATCTTTTTGTAGTTGATATATATATATATATATATATAAAAGGTCTACAACCACCGTGATGGTGGTGGTGGATCGAACAATATTCGGCGATCCATCTGTCATGTGGTGGTCGTGCGGCGGCAGTTGGTGGTTTTTGCAAACCAGAAAGAATATAGTACGTAGCAAATATAACAAGTAGGTACAGTTTGTATTTGGTGTCTCAAGATTACGTAGTATTTTGTTTGGTCTTCTTACGTCGAAAGTACCAAATTTATAAGATATATTGTATCATATCATTTTGTTGGTATATACTAGTGGTACATAATAGGTGATTGGTGTGGAAAATTAGGAAGAATAAAATGTTTATGTTGCGATGTATAGTGTGAATAGTTTTATGAGTTCGGTAAAATCAGAGGTGACGTCATAATGATCATCGGTTAATAAGAGAAAATTATTAACACGCTTGTGGGACAACCATACAGACATACTGGGGGTAGGCTTGTTACTGTACCATATATTTTTTCTCTAGTACCAATCAATTGTAATTGGTACGTAAAATCTTGTACTGTGTATTAACAAGTTATACTTGGTAACAACTTAATTGGTACCAATATTTTGATACTTGTTTTGTACCAACTTCAAGTTACATATATGAAAACTTGTCATTATGTTCAAATCTTTAGCTATATTTTGATTTTTCAGGTAATACATGTGATGTTTAAAAGTTTTTAATTGCAAAGAAAAAAATTTGCAAACATTCGAATGCTGAAATAAAACAGTTAAAATTACGATACCGACTTATTTAACAAAATAGTACCATAATACCAACTTATTTAACAATATAGTACCATAATACCAACTTATTTGATTATTCAATAAATAGAAAATGCAAAAACTAATAAATAATTAAATAAGTCGGTGTTATGGTATTACCGTAGTAAACGACTTCTAATATCATGTACCAACCAAGTTTTGTATAACTGGTACTATGTTATCAACCAATTGTAATTGATACGGTTGGTATACATGTTGGTTAGTTTAGTTTATTATAAAATTGTCACCCCTAAACCATAGAATTCTAGAAGTATTCAGATAATAGGAACCCAACTCGTGAAAAAAATGCAACTGTTCCGTTAATTTTTCCTTTAGGAAAAGCAAATCTGTTAAAAACTCAAACCACATGGACTAAAAATGTAATTTGCTCCCTTATCTATGATTAAAGATGTAAAAGTAAACTACAAATATGGTTCATATGGTGTTGTCAAAAAGTAACATTTTTATATCTACAGTTTCGAAATTACAAGACAGCAATCTGGACTTGTTTGCTTCCTCTAACGAATGTTCATACGTTCTCTTAAATATGGATGTTTCTGTCATTTTAACGATTATTTTTGTCGTTTACGATGTCAAAAACTATAAGGACCAGATTATAAAAACGATTTTGATTGGGTAAACGAGACAAAAAAACGAAAATTTCCTTATTGACGATATTTTTAAGGATTGTTAGAGAACGAGATCAAATCCATATGTTTTTGCAAATTATAGTGGTTATCCCGCTATCTTGTAATTTCGAAACTATAGTGGCAAAAAACGTATTTTCGACAAACTATAGGGACCAAAATTGTAGCTTACTCAATATTTAAAGGTGGACAAAGCCCCATTATCTAGCCTATTCGCAGTTAGTTTTATTCAGTTAAGGCGTGAATATGGGCTTGATTTAAGCCCAATCAGTTCTTATTAATTTAATTTAATTTTAAATAGTTTAATATTTATCATTAAAAATACCCAATTTTATCTTTAAAAATACCTCAAATAGATTTTATGAATTATATAAAGTTACAAGTATCGTTAAAATAATGCATGCAAGACAATTTGTTTCATTAAAATATTTAAAATTATTGGCAGTTACAAAGAAAAACATTTTCCCACATCGGTTAGAAGGAAAACTAAGATTGTTTACTTATATACTAGGACCACATTGGATTTGACCATACTTTTTTTTTATAACATCAATATTCAACACGTTATGTGAATCGATTAATTCCAAGATTAACCACCTTCTTTGTAGATAGCTTAAAATCATCATATTTAAATATTCATGGTCATAAGGGGTTTTTTATTCTATTTTTAGAAGCAATGGAAGATAATTTCATATGCAGCTATTCTTTTATAAAATATTTATTTATGCAAAATATTTAGAGATGATAAATGTGAACGAATTGGATAGGAATTTTAGTGTTTGGTATGAAAGCAAAGTCTAGAAGATTCTAAAGGGAACAATGTGAGAAAATAGACACGTAACTTTATGTGGGCCCAATTAGGATAACGGATAGAGACGAAGCCCAATCCTGCCACATGCCACCATCACCATTATTAAAATTTTAATGTCATATTTGTATTTTATTTTTTATTTTTTTTAAGAAAATAACTCGAAGTTTTTAAATATTTTTTGGTAATAAACTCAAATTAAAAACTTATAAGGACTCCTGTTACATATGAATATTGCTGGTGAGTATGTAAGTTTATATGTTTATCTACAAAAAATTCGTTTATTTTCATCTGTATGAACCTAAATTAAATCAAGTTAATTATAGATATAATTATTTTTGGAGGATAGTTATGAAAATATGTGTTAAAATGTAATTATGATAATTATAAGGCATTATTTCTAAGTATGTGTAACTATATTAAATTTTAAGATAATCACATATATGTTACAGATGATTATTATATCTTATTTTGAGTTATAGTCTATCTACAATTCAGAACATGTAAATAAGATGTTAGGTTTGATCAATTCAAACTGATATAATTATTTAGAATTAACTTTTTATAAAATACATATGAAAAAACTTTTCTTTTTATGTAATACATATGTAGATCTAAGGGTTTTGGGCAAGCACCCAGTAGGAGATCAGAACGTGTTTATGTATGGATCACTGATGAAGGAATTCTACCTGTGGTTTATGAGCGTTACGAGATCTACAAATGTATATATATTCATATTAATGAAACATTTAGATAAAAAAATATTATATTAAATTAATTTCTTGTTTTTAAAAGTGATTTATATTCTTCTCTCCTTTTATATAAGACATGTGAGTGGAGAACGTATGGATAACAACCGATTTTTTTAATAAATATTATTATGAATTATATTTATTTTATCATTAAAATATTTACTAAATATTTCCAAAATTCATTAAAGTTTAATATTTACAGCTCATTAATGATATGTACACTTTCTTAAGACTTAAATTAGAATTTAACAAAACTAAATAACGACCAATTAATAAACATGTTTAAATTGAGAATAGATTTTACGGTCATAATGATACGACGTAAATTTCAAATCTCATAAATTGAATTCATTTTCAATTATGGCTTACAATAAAAATCTATATTTAGTTGCATTAAAACACATGTGAAATCAAACATTATATACATAATGAGGAGTTATTAACCTAAATAGCCATTTTGGCTTACTTATTTTAGAAAATATTTAGCCACCAAAAAATTTTATTTCTATTTTTGTTTGGATTGCAACACTTTTTTGTGTAACTTGCGGTTTTATATTTACTCTCCGGTCTGAATTTTGTCGGACTTACGGGATTCTGGACAGAATTAAAAGGAATTATTTTTGTGGCTAAATTTAAAAATAAGGAGGTCGATATGGCTATTTAGGTTAATTTTTTCATAACGAGTACTCTTATTTTGGACAACTGTAAGGGGCAGTTTAGTAATCACTTTTATCTGTAAAGTGCTTATAGCAAGACCACCATTATCACTTACCTTATCAACTACCTTTATTGGCCATCAAAGTGGATTATTGGCTAGGTCTTTTACTCGATAATCACTTACTGGATAAGAGTGTTCTCTCTCACTTACCAATTAAGATTTTTGATCATTTTTTCTCTAGCTCTTACCATATAAGATTCTAGCTCTTTGTCCCACTCAGATAGAAGGTAACTACCTCCTGATAAGCGTTTATTCGGTAAGCGTCATGTAAACGAACCCTAAATAAAATTGTTACATATGGTCTCCGTTTTGAATCCATATTAGATTTAAAAAACATCGTCTGTCATCCACTCCATTTTTTTTTCTTCTTACATTGCATACGAGACGTATAAAACCAACTAAAAAAATTAGTTTCAATTTTTTTTATCGAGATGTATCTCGTTGCATTGTGCAGGTACCCTTCTAGTATAAAAAGATGTACAATGTTTGATTTGTTATATAACTCAATTAAAGATATTTGATCATTAAATAAATTTAAAAAACATATAATTAAAAATAAAGAATTTTGGTGAAAACACAACTGTTAAAGTTATCCTAAAAGTTGGCTAGGGACATCGTCGGAATGACGTGTCATGATCTAATTTGTTGAAAATTTTAGGTCGCTTGCCGGGGAGTAATTAATGTCCCTACGGCCAGAGATATGGTGGACGAGGAAAATGGAAAGAGAAGACTTGTATTCATAATTACCTTTTTACCCATGATTTACAAATAAACTACATCTTTGCCATTAGATTCTTTTTGGGGATTTTTAATCATCAGTAAAAGATATGATATTTTAATAAAATATTTATTAAATCTTGTATTTAACTTTTTCTATACTTTATAAAAGACGAGTTACTGTTATTTTTGAATTGTTAAAAGGTACAATTAATTAAGCATAATGTACAATTTTTTAAAGCTCACAACCTCCAACAATCTTTATATATTAAAAATTAAATCATTTTTAATTTTTAAATTACATTTTATAATCTTATAATTAGTGATTTAATTTACTTTATATCCTCTTATTTTTTTCGTTTTATTATATGAACATAATATACATTAACATAAACGAACAAACAACCACCATGAGTCATCATTTCGTTCATAAAAAAGAACATAACAAAATGAAAAACTGGATAAACTTTAGAGCGTAAAAGTGAATTCTAAAAGTTTAATATATGATTAGTGTCCTAATATATTTATATAGGCAAATGAACATTCACGAATGTTAATAAACGGCCGAGACGAGACCATTGTTCAGTAC